AGGTGCTAACCGTGAACGTAATGCACTAAGTGTCCACAGAAACTAGCACGCAGCGCCAACTACGACTAGAATTTAAACGAGTCCGTACTACTGCTTCTCGATCTCAGGAAAGTGTGGAACAAGGAGAAATGCGTTTAGCTATCGACCGGGATCGTCATTCGTTGTCTCGCGCATCCGAAACGGTTACTCAAAGGGATCAGAGGTTGAGTCTTCAGAATATCCGCTCTGAGACAGCTCTATCACTTGAGAGCAGTCAGGAGCGTGAGATACGACTTGTGCGTGACCGAGAACGTGGGCAAAGCCAAGGGTACAGCTATAGTTTATAAATAATTTTTTTAAAGTGATTTGCAATATTATTGTTAATTCAGTCTACCCTTGGGATCCGGTGCATCTAATGCAGAACCGCAACAGACCAGCTAAAGTATAAGAGATATAAAAATGGTGTCATAGCAAAAAATATTCCACGTGAAGAATATTTTCTGCTGTGAGAATAAATTTGAAGATATGGAACACCTGTTGTGGAACTCCAAAGCCTAGCGACATTATAACTTATATAGGAATGACGTCGCTAACGTTGCAAAAGTTGTTTAGTCTGATGGGCATTACCTGTTGACTTACAAAAATGAAAGATCTGGAACGTCTCGAATCGTCTCGCGCATCACGTTGTTTTCCCGTCCCCGGGCTCTTAGAATTCGACATCAGACGTTTCAGATCTTTGATTTTGACGACCCCGTTGTCGCTGGCATAAGCAACATCATCCGCGTACGAAGTCGCGGGCAGCAGCTAGTTATTTTATTAAAGTGGTAAATATTTTAGATATATATTTGAATGTTATACAATTTGAACAATTTTTTAAACTAAAACAGTCAATTCTAAAACAAGCGTAGGAAAATAACAGCTTTTTGTTATTTGACGTATTGTTTGGTACGGCCTAGTCCAGCAATGCATTTTAACTTTTTCTTTTTTTTATAGGTGAGGGGGAAAACGAGCATACGGCTCACCTGATGGTAAATGATTACCGCCGCCCATGAACAACTGCAACACCAGGGAAATTGAAGATGCGTTGCCGGCCTTTTAAAAAGGAGTAGGCTCTTTTCTTGAAGGTCCCTAAGTCGTATCGGTCTGGAAAAATTTCTGGTGTGCATGTACACATTAAATGCTATGAGTGTAGTCATTCTGTTATTATCAAGATATTATAAAGTTGTTAACATTAATAACCGAAGCTTTTATGGTAGCAACGATAACTTATCGATGTGCCAACCATATTTAATCCAATTGACGCGATAAGCTCGAAATCGCGAAAATTTAACCCGAGACCGACTCACGATTACTTCAGTATTCTTGTTGAATCCGCTTGTGAACTACCCCCTGGTGAGTAAAATGAGTATTATGTTCATAGTAATGTCTAATTATATCTAATTCTAATAACTTGTTTTTTCTATAGTGTAATTTTTTATAGAAATCGGCTAACGGCTATTTATATGATAGTGGCAGTGGATTTTTGTCTTATGGTACATTTTTAATTATCCAATATCTACAACTTTAATTTAAGGATATGAATGTAAGCAATATAAAAAGATACGCCTTTATTAAATTCTTGAATTTTATATCTGGTGTTTTAATTTTAAATGGTTAAACGAACTTACCTTAAGTGAAGTTCAACCATAATTATACGAAGCTCCTTGTCCTAGACGGTACTACAATTGTTAAGAATGTCTAGGACAATGAGGGAGTATAATTAAATGGTTAAACGAACTTACCTTAAGTGAAGATCAACCATAATTATACGAAGCTCCTCGTCCTAGACATTCTTAACAATTGTAGTACCGTCTAGGACAAGGAGGGAGTATAATTGAGCTACTTAAATGGTATACTTTCCGGTAAACGTGCTGTAGTAACTTTTCAACGTTTGAGTAAACGAAGTCGTAGAACTTATTTTTATTTTTTTTTACAATTATTTGTAGGCCATACAAATACTTGTTCCGTGCGGGATTCGAACCCGCGGCCCCCAGCACAGCAACTCATTGCTAAGCCATTGCGCTACGGAGTCGTCAAAAGTAGTTTTTCTGTCTAGAAGTCCATCTGGGTAGGTTTTAGCTATTTTTCTGTCAAAAGTAGTGCTTGCATTGTTGCGTTTCGGTCATAAGAGTATAGAGTCAGTATAACCACAGTATAAATATGTAACTGTGGTATAACTACAGGCTGTGCGGTATTCCTCAGAGGTGACAAAGCATCTACGAGTATAGCGTTATTTGCTTGAAGTTGATTGCGTGTGTCCATAAGCTGTAATGGGACTCCTCGTTTGTCAATACAATTTTATTAAAAAGTTTTTTATCTCCTTTTTCTTCGTATTAATTCATAAAATTATTTTCTTAGTAATTCATGACACATGACATAACGTTCTAAAAATTTCCACAGAATAAATAATGGTACTACCACAGGATAAATAATAGTTACAAGAAGTACACGAATTAATACGTTACTTACTTTTTAATTTATATGTGTTTAGCTACATCTAGAAATAGTCATATTAGGGTATCGTGTATGTGGAAAAAGTACAAATAAATTTTAATTAATTGTGAATTTTTATTACATATGGGTTATTGTTTTGATGGAAGATGGTATAAGCTCTATCTTACCCAATTGCTTGAGAACAAAAAAACAGAAATTTCGACGCTGCCCCGGCAATATATTTCTAGATAAATTAGTATAGTCTACAAATTAATAACTTTAGAATAAAAGAAATATGAAAAATAAGTAAATTAAATGTGATTAAATCTATAAAAATAGTTTTTAGTGGTATTCGCGTTAACATTTATTATATTGATATCAAAGAACTCAAATCATACCGATAGTAAAATTTGAGATTTAGTATTAGAAAATTACTGCACAAAGCCGGTGCCGCCATTTCGGTCAAAAAACCCGAGACATGATTTTTTATTTCTTAAACGTGTTTTTAGCAGAGTGAAGGGTGTACTGTGGATATTTTGAGATTGTTTTTTATATATATTTATTATATAAATTATTTTTTAAACATGTAAAAAAATTATACTTTACGTAAATTAATTTTTCTATCAAATAATATATAACGCCATTATTCTACTATTCCATCCTGGTAATATTTTGTGCGAGCGTGGTCCTTCCCCAGACTAACCCAAATTTTCATTATTCGTGGTGCAGCCATACTGTTGCAGTGAGACGCTATCGCGTACGAAATCCCACGCGAGTGCCAATAGCAGTCAAAACCTAATAAAAATTCATGTAATAAAAATATTGTAATAATAAAATTGTGTAAAAATTGTATTAAATAATGAAAATACATTACGTAGTAGAGCCATGCTGCAGTTATATTAGTAGTATAGTTGTAGCACGAATGCGTCGGCTCGACCGGGGAAGGACCACGCTCTCACAGAATACCAGCGTGAAATAGTAGCATAATGCTGCTGTGTTTCGTATGGTGAGTGTAGAGAACCGGAGACTCTTTTACTAGAGATGAAACAGATAGCTGTTTTTCCCGATACCGGATACCAGATATTCGGCCAGTTTTATCGCCGGATAGACGGATATCCGGCCGCCGGATATTCTGCCAAACATTGCCGTTTGGTGCATCACAAGAAGCGAAAAGTAAAGTCAGTGCAAACTGTTCGCGATCGGGACCCTTATATTTGGTGAGCGGGTATTGCTACACAATACCCAAATTTATCAAAGTTTGCCTTTCTTTCAGCACTCTACAGCAGTGTATACAGCGAAAGACTTTTTTCTGAAGCTGGCCTTGTTTATGAAGACAGGCGAAACCCCTTGTTACCTTGCAATGCAGAGAAATTAATATTTATTCACCATATATTTGCCCTTAGCTACATAGTACTATTATTTATTCCGTGCCTTAGCGCAGTACTAGTACTAATTTTGAAAGTTTTAAAATGACAATTTTGTGATTACTGATTATATTAATTGTTAAGTGACATAAATGAAGTACTTAACTAAATTTGGTATTGTGTTTTTTTAATCCGGTATCCGGCAGGATAGCTGTTTGTTATCCGGTATCCGGCCGGATAGTAATTTCAGGCCGGATAAGCCGAATACCGGATAGTTACTGGATATCCGTTTCATCTATACATTTTACTGGAAACGAGGCATTCCATCCAAGTCCTCACGGATGACAGTGTATCCGCATTTTGATTCGTAATCGAGGACAGTTGTAGATGTCTATGGGCCATAGAAACCACTTACTATCAGGTGGACTGTGTGCTCATTTGTCACCCTAACCTATAAAAAATTATTTGATAAGTGAAGGCGGTTAAAGAGTATCCATCATTGCATTTTGTCTCGTGGCTGTCTTAACAGGCGACTATGAGATATGCTAGAACTATTTTGTGGCTTCCGATAGATGGCGGTGTAATAATCTCGTTTTACGCCAAGCGTAAAATATTCAGACCGGTAACGGAGAGTACCTACTACCATACTACGATTGTTAATCCGCCTGTCAAGCGTTAATAATAAATAATATAGATTTATTGTGTCAGTAACTGTCATCTATTGCGGCGATTCAATCCCCGCCATTTTCCGCCTTATTTTTTTAATTACTGGAAAGTAGAAATAACTGTTATAATTCGATTATAGCACAAATGTTTTATTAACTTATAAAATTAGACGAGTAAAACGTATTTATTATATTTTATTGTATTAAATCATAACATTATAAACGTATATTAAAATAATACACGACATGAAGTCAATTATTTCTCCCCGGCAGTAACTACAAGCCGCAATGGTTGCAACATATAAAAAATGACGCCATCTTGCATGATACTGTTGAGCGGTTTAAGGTCCTCCCTATAGCTGTAGTGGCCCATGTCCATAAGGTGAACTGTTCCAGGCTGAAGATGATGATAATGACGATGATGAATTAAAAAAGGCTATACTTTCGTAAAAATTATATTAGGAAGCGTATAATAAAATAAGCCCATTTTTTGTTTCAGATTCCATTCAAATAAACCATAATGTCTCTCGACGAGGTAAGTTTGCCCTTATTCTCAAGGTTTTTTTTGTGTGTATTAAAATGAACGTTAGGTACTAATATAAAAATAAAACCTTTATTTATGGAGCAAGTCGCGGCGTATACAAAGAATAATAATTAATATTATTTGTAATAAAAAAAAGCTTAATATGAAAATTAGTTTGTAAATTAATATCCCGTGTGAAGAAGTTATTGCCACTGCTCTATTTGTTTACTTATGATGAGCCAATGCGTGACTACATTCCCACCTGGTGGTGAATAACGCACTAGACGGTAAATCGCACTGCACTGTCTAGAAAAAAGAAAAAAACAGACGCCGGCAAATTATTACACTCCTTTGCATTACGCATTCGAAAGACAAAATATGCCGTTTGATTCGAATATCGAATCTAGTTTTCCGATGGTGAAAAGGGGAGGGAGGAACTAAGGCATGTGACAATTCCTTTATTGAAAAACAACAATTAAAAATAAACAATCGTACTAAATAGTTATCCTTCAATGCAATGCTTAATATTTTAATAGGAGTCGTGGTAGCTTAGGCGCTAAGCGTTCACTGTAAATTTGACAGGCGCGCAACCCTGGTTCATTATCAGTCGGTACCATTGAAATGTTAAGACTGAATTGCCGGTTAGTTTAGACTAAGTTACTGAGTGTTCGGTGGTGAAGGAAAACATAGATAAGATATGCATGTCTGGGAGTAAAATATTTCGAGGTCATGTGTGAAATCCGGTAACACACAATGGAGTAGCGCGGCCTTTGAGTATTCACCTCAAAGAGCGCGGCGGATAACTCTCTCAGAAATAAGACGAGGCCTGTGCCCAGCAGAATGATATATTTATTATAAAGCCGTGAATTTATTTTACTTTGCAATGTTTAATAAAAACGTGTAAATTAAACTCGCATATAGCCTTATTTTGGTAAAACTAGAGATACACTTGAAATAATACTAGTTTATACGGAATTTATCGCGTATATTTAACTTTTTAAATACCCGACGTTTCGAGAGCTTTACAGCACCCATGGTCACGGGGGGGTGACTGAGATGTTTAACGTCCAGATGTCATAGCTCTAACCGCGGTTCCGCTAGCGCCGCCGCGACATCAATGGTTGCCGCGTGCAGTGTACACCCGCAGGAGAATTTGGATTTGGCATTTTAAAACGAAGCGTCGTAAAGCAAGGTTGTTCGCTACGTAACTTGAGTATATTATTTATATTCGTATTTTATGACAATTACCATAAGAATAAAAAATAGTAAACAGTAATCTAGTTTATAAAATAAAAACAAAATAATAAGTGCGCGTCCGGATATACCGACAATATTTTAGTGAAAAGACTATAATTACGTTTGTAACAAAATGTTAGGATTTTTCAATGGAAATCAGGTTATTTGTCAAACTCTTGAATTTTTTAAAAAAAAGAAGGGAACCCCCAAAAAAGAAGTCTGGTTTTACTGTTTACAATTTACATATTTATGCTTAAAGATTCTCTTTTCTAGAATTGCATTACATAGTTTTCAACTCGGCACTTGATATCACAATGTGAAATTGTCAATATTAATGACGTCACTGCGTCATAGACGTCTGTTCAATCGATTTGCAGTTTAGGCATTAATTAAATTCCTATATTTGTTATCAAACTTAGTTTCAACACGACTCAAGAGCTTAAAATCGCGTTAAAAACCTGCAAAAATAAAAATTTTATGTGTGACCTCAAGGCAAAGCCTACCTTCACTTTTTAAAATTATACGTACTACTGATTTAATTATAACTCTTTTGACCCCATTTTAAATTTAAGGTAATTTTATGTCTGTTGTAATAACTAAATAGTTATATTTTTAATAAGAAATTAAAGGTTCATTCTGGGAAACTTTTCGTACAAAAACTATGATCTCGAACGCCTACCTAACGCTATCTAATTTTGTATAGGAAAACTTGTTATTCTCACCTACATGAGTTAACAAGCTGTAGATGATTTTGTTAGCTTTGGCTCGTCTATCGCTTGTAATAAATTGTTGCTTTGTGTTTTAAAAATAAATTCTAAATTTCTTTATATAGTTAGATAATTTGAAATGGAGAACAATTTTAAGGTTTTGATCGCAGAATACAAAAAGTATTACAGTATTCTATATGTCAATAGTTTATTCTTTATCTTTTCGACTCTCAGAACTCAGAATATTTTTTTCTTTATTATGATTAAAATAAAATCATCTATAACCGAATATTTTCCACGGAATATGTACTAGTGGCTCAGGTATACCTACAACGACAAATTAAGCACTTTGGACTGTATTTTGTTTTTAATATCCGTGATACATATTTTTATCTTTGTTTTTATAAAATGAAAAAGAAGTAGGATTAATTTTACTTTTTTAACACAGCAATTCAAGAAAGTCGCTGACAACGTCAGGAACTGGAAGACCAAGCCAGCAGACAGCGAGAACCTGGCTCTCTACTCTCTCTACAAGCAAGCACTGTTCGGAGATGTAAACATTCGTACGTATTGAAACAGATACCTATATTTACCAGAATATTATATTGTGGATGTAAGCAGTTGGAAGAAAATTAATACAAAAACGTTAATTAACCACTTTACCGTCGTGATTTATCAATGAAGCCCGTAGCATGTATAACTCTTGAAGAAAAATAATTTTTAGTTTGTTCAGCCCAAATGGACGTCGGTGTATGTGAAATTAAAAAAAAAACTAATACTTGATCCTCGTGTATTGTATGTATAATCTATAAGAAAGTCTTTGAATCCGACTAGATTTGCTCCTTTCCCGTGCTGTAGTCTCTACAGCAGTGCCGTTTGTACAGTAGGACTACGATGACTATCCGGGTACAGAACCAGAGCAAACCTATCCATCAGAGACGGTGTTGGATAGTGTGAATCCCCAGCTGTATTGAAAGTTATTTAAGCTGCAGGACTAGAAAAGATACGGTATTAAAATTAATCGCGAGTACATAATGAGTACACAATGTCACACCTATTTTTTTTATAGAATAAGGGTGACAAACGAGCACACAGTCCACCTGATGGTAAGTGGATGTTGTGGCCCATAGACGTCTACATTTATCCTCGATTAAGAATCAAAACGCAGATGCATTGTCAACCCTGAGGACTAAGATGGAATGCCTCGTTTCCAGTAAGAAAGGATCTGCGGTTCTCTACACTCACCATACAAAACACAGCAGTATTAAGCTGCTATTTTATGCTGGTATTCTGTGAGAGCGTGGTCCTTCCCTGGTCGAGTCGACACATCCGTACCACAACCTTAATATAGCTGCAGCCTGGCTCTACCAAAAATTGGGAGCACTCTGCTTGAAGTTGTTTACGAGTATGTTTACCTTGAACAAATTGTGCGACTAATTAAGTCCAAGTAAATGATAATGACGATGATGACTTGATGAACTTGAGTCGATTTGTTGGTGAATTTCTCACACTTAATTTGTATTTTGCATATTATATCCTATTTAGGTTACCATTTGATCTCTAAATATGTCAGTATTAATTCGTGGTATTTTTGAAGCTTTCTCCATCCTACTCAACATGTGTGTCATCATCATCATCTTTTTCTGTTATTATACTATAAATGAAATTACAGTCTATAGACATCTCACTCCTGGGTACAGGTATCCTTTCATTTCTGAGAGGGTTTTAGGGCAAGTGGTTGCGGTACGAAAAATTCAAATTTCATTTAAAAATACGCTGTGACACACAAACATACACGCGCACGCATCACACACACTGTATCAGTATTTTTACACATACACGCTGTATCAGTATTTTGATTAAAAAAAAAACAAAGTTTGCAAATTGGTATCCGCAAGACGTAGATTAATTATCAGCATTTTATTTTTGAAATCGTTTCCGAAATATATAATGTTATACTTCTTAACGAGGGTGAAACTTAAGTTTTTACTTGTTTTTATTTAAGTCACATATACGTGGTAGAGCCACGCTGCGGCTATATTATGGTTGTAGCACGAATGGGTCGGCTCGGCCGGGGTAGGACCACGCTCTCACAGAATACCAGCGTAAAAAAGCATATCAATGCTGTTGTGTTTCGTATGGTGAGTGTAGAGAACCGGAGACCCTTTTTACTGGATAGGAGGCATCCTATCTTCTCCCATCCCGTCGTCGGTCGACCGACGCGCTATGGAAACATATTGACGCGTTCAGTGCTACACCGACCGTACGGATGCGTGTATCATCGTCAAGAAAATCAAACCTAAACTTTAATAATATTGTATGATTTTATAGGTATTAAGTAGTGTTAGTGATTTAAGTAATTTTTATCAAACATGGAATATGTCGACACCGAACGCCTCGCTGAAATTTCACTGACAATTCATGAAAACTTTTGATTGACATTCTCAAAAATTTTTCTTCATCTTCGCGCAATAATGAATATAAAGTAGTAAATACCCCTTGAAGTGCTCTTTGGGCGACGATTAGGTGAACCTGATCCACGTCTTCTGTTCCTTATATGTTTACGAACATAGTAAGCAGCAATTAAACAATTAACGCGTCCATTTCGTGTACGTGTTTGTGACAGTATCAGTCCGGCCAGTTTCGTTGCTCAGGAAAGCTCTGAACGCTACAAAATGACGATCGATTATGCGTATTGTCAGGACCGATAGTACGCACTGATGGTCGGTCGAGCTCTAAAACCGGCCTTAGTTCTCATAGGTGACAACGCGTCTGCATTTAGATTCTTAATCGAGGATAGATGTAGATGTCTATGGGCCATCAGATGGACTGTGTGCTAGCTTGTCATCCTTATACTATAAAAAAACGAAGTTATACCAACAATAGTGATGATATCACTTTACATTACAATATCTCTTGTTGAGTGTTGACTACGTAAGATAATCGCCATCTTAATTTCGCCCGGAATTGTAGTAAAAGGCGACGATGGGAGAATTCCAAAGAATTTTCATGGCTTCTGATTCAGATATATTATAATTATCTCGTTTATGACACACATGAAATACTTAGGCCAGGACGGTCAACAGCTTGCGAGACGTCTGGTAAGGCAATTGTCAAATTGTCTCCGAAGCGTGACAATTCCTACCTACAACGGGTGAAGTTCACACGTAGCAGTTGATTTTACGGATTGATTTAAATAAGAAAAAGATTATATTGCAATATAAAAAAAATTTATACCTTTGTCTTTACAGCCGAGCCCAGCGGCATAGTGGAAAAGGCGAAATGGAAAGCGTGGAATGGTCGTAAGGGTATGTCTCAGGACGACGCCAAGAAACAATACGTTGAGATGGCCGAGAAATTACATTCTAAATACACATAAATTGTTGTATATTTAAGACTATTTATTATTTATTTAATAAATTAGTTGTAAAATGATATTATTCTATTCACATATTATTTTTCTCAATTGTTGGTATGTGTGTCAAAATTCAATTTTGGAACAGTACATATTCTCAAGCGGATTTTTTAAATAAATAAACTTTAAAAATAAAGTGGATTTTATTTTTGCTCTAGAGCTCTATACGGTGGTTTTATAATAATAATAATAGTAATAATTGTTTATTTCAATTATCATTTTCATTACAAACCAGAGTTACATATGAATTTACAGGCATTTAGTTTATTGCCTAATATAACTTGGTCATCTGAAACTAAACTAGGAAATTCATTCTGTGTTTTGGCTACAGCGCAACGGAATTTATAAATAGATAGTCAAAACAACTATATATATACATACATATGTATATATTAACATTATAAAACATGAAAATAAATGAACAAACATATAAACAGAAAAAGCGTTTTGAGTGTGAGCGTGTGTACGCGTGTGCGACGCGTCAGTCAAGTGTAAGTAAATATTTTATTACTTTTCTAACTTTTCTTGTACATTTTATTTACTCACACACACATGCGCGCACGCGTACTTGTGTTTGTATGTGGTGTGTGCGTGTGCGTGTGTGCGCGAGTGCACGCACGTGTGTGTCAGTCAAGATAAGTAAATATTTTGTTACTTCTCTTGTACATTTATACTTATTAAGGTTAACAATGGTAACGTTTTTACTAATTTTATTATAAACAGAGCTTCCTAGAAAGCTATAAAAACATTTAACGAAAGCGGTTCGAGAACTAGGGATTCATATATACACAATATCTTTTCTACGTCCATTACGGACGCAACCATTACGGATCATAAATAATTTCGCCGTGTTTATAATAGTAGCCAAAACAAAAAGTTTTCTAACGCTTAGCACCTCACAGTAATCATATAAAAGTGTGGTAGGATGCTAGTATATAGGTAAGGTTTAAAAGTACATACCTTTAGAACAGCCCGTTGAGCCAATTATACAAATTTTATATTTTTTTTTGCGATTCCACGCCAAACCCATATGCCATATGTTAGGATCGATTGACTGAATTGATTGATTGAATATCTTAAAGATTGCAATCAGTTTTCTAACTATACCACATAGAATCTATACATGTGCTTTAATTTCATTTTATTGTTGCGCGCCACAGTTGATGGCACTAGCGCCATCTGCTATCAAGTATCAGAAACAGGAGTGTCAAGATCTTTCTGGAACTCTCCCAACAGCGCCATCTAGTAACAAATGGAAGAATTAAGCTTTCTAGAAGCTCCACACTCGAACTTTATGCGTCTGGTCGGTCGGAGACCGTATTTGCTCGAATATTCTGGATGTTTCGGTGGAAGAGCCATATATAAAGCCATTGATAGCCGCGATCGAGGCAGTATTGAATTTGGCGATACAAGCGAAGTTTCGTAGCGGAATAAAGTGAATCAGTGTGATTAATTATTAGTGTCTTTTAAGTTTTAATTGGTGTTCGGTAATTAAAGTGTTAATTTTAGTAATTTAATCGGCAGTTTTTATTGTCACAAACCCTAAGCTCGTAATATTATTGTCAATTGTTAGGATCAAGATATTTGATGTCATTTACATTTTTAAACGGTTTGCATGAACACCGATCACTATTTTGATTAGTACAAGTATGATATTGACATTCTGGGAGTTACAAACTATCAGGTAAATTATTTCGAAAATTTATGGATGACAGAATTAAATACGGTACACGTTACTTTCCACAGAAAAGAGCGGATTTCAAACTAAAATCTAAATGCAGTAATGTCGGAAAAAGGCGTTGCACTTTTTGTTGCTTCTACATTGTAGTCTAACTGTAGTCTACTACACTGTAGTCTAAGTAAGTACCTAAGTTAACGAGAACATGTGACATAGCCCACACGAAAGTTTTGTGTTTAGTTTTATAAAGTTAGCCAATTTTTTTGTTCTAAACACACTACAATCTACCTGATGGTAAGTGATTACTGCAGTCCATGGACACCTGCAACCGACTTCAAACAAAGAAGACTACCGGCGCATTGTCACCTCTGAGGACTAAGATGAAATGTCTCACAGCCTGTAATTACACTGGCTCTCTATACTCTTAAGAAGGAACACAGCACTGCAAGCGATCTATTTGGCTGTAGAAATGAGTTAGAGGTTAGTAGGACTTCTGTGCAGGAAAACAGTCCTACTACCTAGTAATTGAACACCTAGGATAAACAACACAACCGCTCTTGACACATTACAGACCATAGATGTGGTATTAACTGACGTTAAAATATATTAACAATGCAAAAGAGAAAGAGCATAGTATACGCGTATGTTAGAGTGAGAAAGATAGTCTAGACCATTCTCGTATACGCTATCGGTCTAGTTTTACAGCTAATATTCAAAATATAAAACTGTTTGATAATATAGGTACTTAAATTTTTTTTCTTATAATCTTAATATCATAATTATCAACATATTTGGCTTTATATTATGGCCCGGCCACACAAAGGAGAAATGCCGTTAATTATCGCGTTGATGGACGTTGAATGTAGGTGTGGCCACGAATTATCGTGATAATTTGACAACGGCATTAACAATGCCGTTTCCCGTTTGCCGATAACTCGAGTGGCGGTACATCAAAGGATTAACGCGCGAATTATCGCGTTGAAGCGGCCACACTACGTTTGTCTCATTGTGGACGGTGAGTGTCACGGGGTTGCACGTATGGTTGCTATGGAGTGGAGTAATGAAAAAGCTTTTCGAGATGAAATTAAAAAAATTACTTCAAAAGTACTTTAATTTACGGTATGAAACTAAGAAAAATAAGCAGGAGAAAAAAAAACAATTTTTGCAGGTCAAAATTCATAGTCTACAGTGGTACGAAACCCTGGGTACGTGTATCTAATTCGCACTTGATCAGTATTTATGATTGGCTTATTAGTTATTATTTCATTAAAATATATTTACGTTTATCTCATTTCCAGTAAAAAGGGTTTCCGGTTCTCTACACTCACCATACGAAACACAGCAGCATTAAGCTACTATTATGCGCTGGTATTCTGTGAGAGCGTGGTCCTTCCCTGGTCGAAACATTTAACAACGGCAAATTTAACGCCGTTCAACGGCAAATTTAATGCCGTTCAACGGGAAACGACGTTGATCGTTCAAGTGTAGCCACTCATTTTATCGCGTTTTTAAGGCAATAATTGTTGCGTTTATGGGCATTGACGTTGATCCTTAGTGTAGCCGCAGCATAACTGAGTTTTGATAAACAATAAAATTCAATAGGGTTGTCGAATTCCTTGCCTATAATACATCAATGTTCTTTTCTGTAAACAATCAAAGTCGGCGACAACAGATAATTATCAAATGTTACTATTGTTATTGATTCACAAACTAGTGTAACAATACGCATATTATACGGTAAAATAACCGTTAGAGAAGATTGCAGGAGACCTGACGGTGTGACTTTGAATGCTAGGGAGAGAGAGATAGCTTTAGTGTGGGATACTACTTGTGAAGACTCTTTGGTAGCCTCTCATCTCAGGGGTACCTAGTTTAAAGCAGGGGCGGTATCAAAGGCAACTGAACTGAGTAGCCCAAATATGAGTCTCTGAGAAATGAGTACATATTTGTGCTATTTGCTGTAGAGACTATCGTTCTGTGGGGTTCACGTGCGATGAAGTTAAAAAATACTATCCGCAACTGATCGTCACTGTTGTTGATAAGAGGTATGCTTATTTTCTCGCTCAAAGGTTAAGTATAGCTATTCATAGGAAAAACGCAGCTAGACTTCTTGGCACTACATCGTGGGGAGTAGGACTGTATGATAGTTTTAGTTTTTAGTTTTCAGTGGATACAGATGACTTGGGACCGTGCTTAGTGGCATTCCTTGGGGATGATGATGATAATGATATTGTTTAATCTTGAATGATAATACAATCAATGAAATTGAATGATCTATAACTTTCAAATAAATTGTGAGTTCAATACGCTCGCAATTTCCGCAAGTGCAAGCACTAAGTTGATTTCGTTTTGCCACAATCTGATGAACGGTATGGTAGTGCATAAATACGAACGAAAACACGCAACATAATTTTTTTTATATATACGAAGATAATACTTTATTCTGTCTGTAGACAGACCTGTAAGTATTAGAATATGCTCTATTTTAGAAGCTGATTTGTTTTCCATTAACACCATATAGTGATACACGGTGTTAATCGGAGACTTCAACGTAAAACTAGGCACAAGAAAGAACGGTGAGCTGAATGTAGAGAAATTTGGGATAGGGCAACGGAACCCAAGGGGCCAGCAGCTGGCCGACTTCATGGAGAAAGAGGAACTCTTTTTGATGAACTCTTTGCTCCAGAAGTGACCCCACAGAAAGTGGATCTGGTTGAGCCTCGACAGTTCGACAAAAAATGAGATTGACTTCATTATGACGACTAGACGGCAACTGTTCAGTGGTGTCTCAGTGATCGCTAGGGTGAAAACTGGCAGCGATCACCGAATGGTTAGAGGCACACTGAACCTAGAAAGGTCTCGTCTAATGAAGTCAACGCTTCGTCCCCCTCGTTCTCTAATCCAGAATCCCGAAACCTTTCAGCTTGAGTTACAAAACCGCTTTCAACGCCTAGAAGATTGCAATGCAGTGGACGATATGAATGACAAGCTCGTTGAAACTGTTCATGCGGTCGGAGTTAAGTTCTGCAAGATCCGCCGCAGTAGAATACAAAAACTCTCTGATCACACTCTTAATCTCATGGCTGTTAGACGGGAGATGAGGCTGCAGTCGCCAGCAGTTTTGACAGCATACAGGCAGCTGAACAGACAGATCTCCAAATGCATGCGGCAGGACTTACGCAACTTCAATACAGCTCGTATTGAAGAAGCGATTGACCGGAACCAGGGCTCCAAAGTCTTTGCCAGAGATCTGCTTGCCAGAAAGAGCTGCTGGATCACCAGTGCT